GTGAGACTCCAACTCAAAAAAAAAAAAAAATCCTAAACTATATTGACACCTGCAGGCATGCCGAAAGCCTGGTCATGTGCATATCAAAGAATTAGTGTAGTTATTGGAAGGCGAAAGAAGGAGCTTCTGCTTTCTGTACCTCTCCAGTGGCTGAAATTCTTTTTTTAGAGACAGGGTCTTACTATGTTGCCCAGGCTGGACTCAAACTCCCAGACTCAAGCAATCCTCCTGCCCATGTAATTTTTTTTTTCCTGAGCCAGGACCTCACTGGCATTACAGGTATCCTGAGCCTGGCCCCCACGAAATGCTTCAGAAGTGTGTGTTACTTTTACATGCAGCAGAAATAACGGGACGTGTCTGGGGGTAGGACATGACTGCTGTGTCTGGGCACAGGCTGGAAGTCCCCACCAGCATCGCTGTCCCAAACTGAGGCCAGCCCCGGAGACAAAATCCTGTACTTACCATGGGGTGATTCTGAGCCGTCTTCAGCAGCGACAAGGGAAGCTGGAAGGCAAACAGAGTCGCGTGACCCGCGTGACCAGTGCCTGGGGATCCTGGCCCCGTGGGGCTCATCACGGGTGCGGGGTGAGTGCCAGTCACCCCCATGGAAACGCCACCCCCTGGCGCTGCTGACCCTGGCACACACACCTGCTTCCCGGAAGGGGATGGAAGCCTTCCACCCTTTGCTCCCAGATGCAGCCTGGCCTTGGTGCTGGCCGTTGGGTGTTCTCTACACACATGGCCACACGTGGGCAGAGCAGGTGTCCCCATGCTCAGCCACGGCACAATCCAGGGCAGCCTGCCCGTGCTGACTGGGCTGTGTCACACTGGTGTCCATGCTGATGAGGGCATTGTGGCCATGGGCTTGAGGACACTTGACTCAGAGGCCCCAACATGTGTGCCTGAAGCCAGCGAAGCCCACGCCCCACAGCCCAACCCAGGGCTGACTCCGCTGGGATGCACAGGGGAGGCAGCCCCGTGGGAGGAGGGCGCATCTATTACTGCAAGCAACGGCAGGCAAAGGTGGACTCTGGAGGACACACCCGGGCAAGGTGGGCTTTTCAAGTATCTCATTTTTCTTTTTTTTGAGTCGAAGTCTCACTCTGTCACCAAGGCTGGAAGGCAGTGGCCGCTCCTGGCCCCTGCAGCCTCGACCTGCTGGGCTCCGGCGATCCTTCCACCTCAGCCTTCCAAGTAGCTGGAACTACAGGCGCGTGCTACCACGCCCGGCTGATTTTTGATTTATTGTAGAGATGAGGTCTCGCCAAGTTGCCCCGGCAGGTCTCGAACCCGCGGGCTCAGGCAATCCACTCACCTCAGCCTCCCAAAGCGCTGGGATTACAGGCTGAGCCACCGCGCACGGCCTCTGAGTTTCTTTTAAGTGACCAATATATAGTACTTTTATAACTGGGGGGAAAAAAAATCAGCTTTCATCTTGGAATCACAAAGCATGACCCTCATAGTGGGGGCTGCCTCTGGCTTCCAGAAAGAGGGGCGATTCCAGTGGCAGTGCCTGGTCCAGGGTCCCATAACACACTCTTTCAGTACAGCCCCCTGAAGGCTCGCACACAGGCTGCAGATGGGAACTGCCTCACGGAGGACCAAGGCCCAGCTGCCTTGCCTAGAGACTGAAATTCCAGCTGGTCCTGACCCAGACGCCTAGGCTGCAGAGCCCTGTGTCCCTCCGTCCACAGGCGGCTGCTTCCCCAATGTCAACTTGAAGGCCCCTCCCCTGGTGGGGGCCCCCATGAAGAAGGGCGGGGAGGACTCGACACTCCACAGCCCCGCCAGGAAGAGCTGCCCTAGGCAGGCACCCGCAGGAAGCCAGGCCCAGGCCCAGACCCCTTCCTGCAGGGCTTCCTGGAAGGGCCAGACAAGGAGGAAGAGGGGTCCTATGGCTAGGACAGCAGCTCCGAGAGGTGGCGGGGCGGGCTGGGCCCATCTGGACTGCAGCGAGCCTCGGGGAGTCAGCTGGGCACCCCGCACTGCAGAGAGGCCCTGGGTCCTCTAGTCTTGACCCTCCCCCCAGACCTCCAGGGAGCGGGTAGGGGTGAGGCCAGCCCTGACGGCAGCAACAGCGGTGGACTCGGCCCACGGCGGAAGCAATCTGCCCGGGACACAGAGCAAGGGCCCAGCAGAGCCGCCCACGAGCCCAGGCTGCTGGCAGCAGGTGACCCACTGACACACCTTCCACGTGGGTGACAGCCTGGGCCAGTTATCCCAGTGACCCGTGATCTCCTTGGCAGTCACTGCACAAGCAAAGAGGATGAGACACAGATGGGCCAGGTGCAGCCCTGTCCCCACCCTCCCCAGGCCGGAGGCTCCAGCCCGGGTGGCACACCCAGTACTGCTGCCTGACCTTTGCCCCCACTGGCGGCTGCTAAACATCATCTCCTGGGCCAGGCCCCTTAATAGCCGCCCTCTGTGTGTGGCTGTTTCTGTGAAGGATGTAGCTGGTCTCTAATTAACATGCTTTTTCACTACCTGTCTTCCTGGCTAGACTGGAAAACTCCAGCGGGCGTGGGCTCCCCAGTGCCAAGCACGGGCTGGGCGCATGAGAGGGACTTGGTAAATACTTGCTGAATAAACACAGGAAGGAAACCACACGCCACCTGGAGACCCGGGCAGGACAAGGCAGGCCTAGGTGGGGTAGGCCATGTTGGGACACAGAGCCCCCGACTCCCAGCCAAGGCCCTCCAGGAAACTTAAAGAATGGGCCGGGCCCAGTAGCTCATGCCGGCAATCCCAGCACTTTGGGAGGCCAAGGTTGGAGGATCCCTTGAGGACAGGAGTTTGAGATCAGCCTGGGTAACAAGGCAAAACCTCATCTCTACAATTAAAACAAAGAAAAAATTAGCCTGGTGTGGTGGCGGACACCTGTAACTCCAGCTACTTGGAGAGTGGATGGATCGCCCGAGTCCAGGAGGTCCAGGCTGTGGTAGTCGTGACTCTCGTGATTATGCCACTGCACACCAGCCTGGGTGACAGTGTTAGTCGGACACAAAACAAAGCATCTGGGGGGCTAGTCGACACAGGTCAGGACCAACAGAGGCCTAAACTCAGGAGGCCGCTCCCAGCCCCCACTTCTAAGCAGGCAGCGCCTTCCAGCCCCACCCTGACCACAGGGAGCTGGGAGTGTGTGTCTGGCCAGGCCTTGCTCACTCCTGGCCACTCCTCCAGGAAGCAAAGGCCAGCCAGGAGTCTGCACGTGTGCAGGCCTGGAAGTTCAGAGGTGGGACCAGAGGTGGGACCAGCCTGTGCTTTGCCCAGGAACAGCTCTCCAGCTGGGAACATGTCAGGGATGAAAACAGACACGCCTCCAGAAAGCTTCACCCAGAGATGAGGCCTAACAGTTCCGCCAATACCTTTGTGTCCACTCTGTGCTCCAGGTGTGCAGCAGAGGGGAACAGGCTCTTCTCTGAACCCCTACACCAATTGGCAGGCTTTAGCCCAAGCCCTCACCAATCCTTGGCTCCAAGTTTCAGATCCTGGTTCCAAAATCCCCAGCAGTGAGTCTGGAAGTTGGGCCTTGATTTCTCTCCCACTGTAGGAAGCTAAGGCAAGAGGATTGCTTGAGCCCAGAAGTTCAAGACCAGTCTGGGTAACAGTGAGATCCTGTCTTTACAAATTTATTTATTTTTTTTGAGTTGGAGTCTCTCTCAGTCGCCAAGGCTGGAGAGCAGTGGCACGCTCACGGTCACCGCAGCCTCGATCTGCTGGGCTCAGGCAATCCTCTCACCCTTGCCTCCCAAAGTGCTGGGATTATAGGTGTGAGCCATTGCACCCAGCCTACAACAAATTTTTTTTTTTTTTTGAGTTGGAGTCTTACTCTGTCACTCAGACTGGAGTGCAGTGGCCGCTCCCGGCCACCGCAGCCTCGACCTGCTGGGCTCTGGTGATCCTTCCCTCAGCCTTCCGAGCAGCAGGAATTACAGGCGTGCGCTACCACGCCCGTTTTTTTTTTTTTTTTTTGAGTTGGAGTCTCACTCAGTCACCCAGACTGGAGTGCAGTGGCTGATCCCGGCCACCGCAGCCTATAAAAATTTTTTTTAAAAAGCTGGTCATGAGCCGGGCTCGGTGGCTCAGCCTGTAATCCTGCGCCTTTGGGAAGCTGAGGTGAGTGGGACTGACTGAGCCCGTGGGTTCGTGACCCGCCTGGGCAGACCTCATCTCTACAATAAATAAAAAAATCAGCTGGGCATGGTAGTGCATGCCTGTAGTTCCGGATACTTGGAAGGCTGAGGTGGAAGGGTCGCCGGAGCCCAGCAGATTGAGGCTGCGGGGGACGGGAGCAGCCACTGCACTTCAGTCTAGGCGACAGAGTGAGACTCCAACGCAAAAAAAAAAAAAAAAAGCTGGTCATGCCAGGAGCGATGGCTCAAGCCTGCAATCCTAGCACTTTGGGAGGCAAGGTGAGAGGATTGGCTGGGTCTAGGGGTTCGAGACCAGTCTGGGCAACTTGGTGAGACCTTTACTCTACCAAAAAAAAAAATTAGCTTGGTGTGGTGGCACGTGCCTGTGGTTCCAGCAATTTAGAAGGCTGAGACCGGAGGACTTCCTGAGCCCAGCAGGTAGAGGCTGCGGTAGCTGTGAGTGTGCCACTGCACTCCAGCACTGGCGACAGAGTGAGACTCCTGCTCAAAAGCAAAACAAAACAAGACAAAAAACCCGAAATACCAGCAGGCTCCGGATCTGAATTTCCGCATCCACATCTGTACACTGGGGCCACGGGCAGCAGATCCCCGGGTGCCTGGACACAGAACATCCCTGACCATGCCCGGGGGAGAAGCCTGGGCCTCCGTTCTTTTTTCTGTGACCAGGAAGCATGTGTTCTGTCCACCCCCGGCTCGAAACGTCCCCTCCCCAGCCGGGCGTGGTGGCTCACGCCTGTCATCCCAGCACTTTGGGAGGCAGAGGCGAGAGAATGGCCTGAGCCCACGGGTTCGAGACCAGCCTGGGCCACTTGACGAGACCTTGTCTCTACAATACATCCAAAAAAACCAAAAGCCCCCTCCCCGGGAACAACAGGCCACGAGACACCGGGGGCGGTGGGGCTGACACCCCAGGCCCGCGGCAAGCCCTGGAGGGCCTGAACCGCCTCGGCGTCCGGGCTCCGACTCTCCCGTCCACGAGGGCAGCCCGGGCTGGGGGCTCGGAGCAAGACGGCCGCCGCGCGCCGCCCCACCCCAAACCCCGGAGGCAGGCGTGGGAGAGGCCGCCGCGGGCCGGGGTGGCGGGACTCGAGACTCAGACTGGAGAACGTCCGCCCCGCGCCCCCTCCGGCGCCCAGGGCCCGCCCTGAAGGCCCCCGACGGCCGCAGCACCCAGCTCCCGAGGAGACCCCGCCACGCCCGCCTCCGCTCCGGCCTGCCCTCACCATGGTGCCGGCGGGGACCCGGCTCGCCGGCCACTTCCGCCGCCGCCGCCGCAGCTCCCGCTCCCGCCGGTCTCCGCCCAGCCGCGCGCCACAAGGCTGAAAAGTTGAGTGGCAGGGATGCGAGCCAACCCGCGCGGGACTTGAAGGACCGCTCGCAAATCACCGCCGGGCGAGGC